TCCAGGTTTGTCCATGTTGTCACAAATGGCAAGATTTCCTTCTTTTTTAAGGCGAGATAATATTCTAGTGTATGTGTGTGTATGCCTTTGCTTGTGATGAGTTCTCAGCTGGTGTCTGTGTGTGGGAAAATATCCTTATTTTTGAAAGATATTTTTGCTTCGTATAGAATTTAGGTTGGCGCACCCCCCCCCACCCCAAGTCTTTTAGCTTGCATTATTTCTGACATGAAATCTTTTTTAATCCTTTTTGTCTCTTTGTACAAAACATTTCTTTTTTTCCTCTCTCTGCTTTTAAGATTTTCTCTTTATCACTGGTTTTCAGTGATTCACTGGTGTAGTCTACTTCATGTTTTTTTTGTGCTTGGGGTTCTTTGAGCCTCTTGGATCTGTGGTTTATGGCTTCCGTCAAATTTAAAACATTTTTATTAGATCTTCAAATATTTTTTCTGCCCCTCACCCTCTTCTCTCATCTGGGTAGTCTAATGGCATGGGTGTTCAGCCACGTTAAGTAGTCCCACTGTTCCCTCATGATGTCTCTGTGTGGTCTGCTCCTCTGTGTGTCATTTGGGCTAGCCTCTGTTAAGTTTTCAAGTTCACTGCCTTGTTTTCTGCAGGGTATACGCTGCTATTAATACCATGCAATGTATCTTTCATCTCACACAATACCGTTTTTCTCTCTAGAAGTTTGACGTAGGTCTTTTTTACTTTATTTTATAGTTAGTGTCAGCACTGAGTTGAATTCCTGGACACCTTCCCTGCTAGTAAGCAGGAATTGCTGGCTGCTCTTGGAACCACCCCCTCCACGCACTGAAATTGGGTTCAGGAACCCAAAAGGGTGCTGAATACTTTTGTATCCTAACGCATATTCCTGAGATTTGTTCTTAATCACAGTTAAGTTACTTAGGAAGAGTTGATCCTGCCTCGTCTTGCTGTTGAGCGTCATCAGATGGGATCAGAGCAGTGTTTAGTCTATGCTTAATCTTTCCCGTTGCAGACGGAAGACTCGGTGCTCTGGTGATGCCCTGTGAGTTGGGCTTGCTTTCTTGCTTTGTGGGGAGCAGAGTCGACACTACCCTCAGCCTTGCGGGGGCGCCCCAAGCACGGCTTCTTCGATCCTCTCAAGTGGCTCTCACACTGGACACCACTCCTTCCTTGGTCAGCTCTCAGCTGAGGGCCCAAGGGAGGCCCCTGGAGGGTGGGCCTGCCCTCGGTCCATTCCTGTCCCTGCCAACTGCAGCAGCTTCGTCCACCTGTGTCCCCAGCTCGGGGAGCCCTGCGGGCCCCGTGTGTCTGTTCCCGGGGCCGTCGTGGGGCTCACTTCCTCTGCGCCCCACCTCTCGGGACGTGCAGTCTCTCCTGCCCGGTTTCCAAGATCTTCAGTATTTTCTTTCCATGTGCTCTGCCCCGCGTTTGAGTTATTTCAGGTGGGAGCGTAGGTCTGGTCCGTCTCACTCCATCTTGTCTGGAAGCAGAAGTGATTCCGAGTGATTTTTAATTTCTTTTTTTTAATCCTCACCCGAGGACATTTTTCCCTTTTTGTTCAGATAGAATGGTGGGGGGAGGGGGGGGAGAAACATTGATGTGAAAGGAACACATCAAGTGGCTGCCTCCTGCATGACCCAAGCCGGGGCCTGGGACAAATTGCAGCCGAGGTCCGTGCCCTTGACCAGAATCAAACCCGCGACTCATTGGTCTGTGGGCCGACGCTCTAACCTGAGCCAAACCGGCCCAGACGATTGTTAATTTCTTTATGCCTCCCTGGATTAGGGTCCCTGCACCAAGGTTTCACTCTAAAGTTGTATCTGTTAGACTATCTCTATTTATAAAGAGGATACATTTGTTAAAAGACAGATAACCTACTGTGAAAAGACATTTGCAATGTAAGAAAGTTTTTGCCATACAAAGGATTCTTACAAATCAATGAGAAAATAATAGAAATTATAATTAAAAATGTAAATAGCCAATGAGTGTATTTTTTAAATGGTTCCCCCTACGAGTAAACAACTAGCCGTGGGCGCTATGATCTGGGCTGAGGACGGTCCTTCTTCCTTGTCTCCAGGGCTGGTGAGCGAGTGGCTGGGTGTGGGCACTCCCGTACCCGTGGCTGGGCGTGGGCACTGGCTCGGTCTTTCTTACGGGCATTTTGCCAGCAAATGTCCAGGAATTTAAACGGGAGCATACCTTGACCCATAATTTTACTTTTAGTAACTCAGTCTGGAAAACGTAAGAATATGAGCAAAGATTTAGGTACAAGATATTTCGTGTTTATAATACAAAGAATACTGAGAGCTACTGAGAGGGTCATAAGTAGGGATTGTAAGCAAATTTGATACATCCACAGTATGGCTTTTTTTGTGTAGTATGGTTGAAAATTAAATGACACAGAGAGATTGTCCTCACCTGTGAAGTGAAAAACAGCTCATAAAACAGCATGTCCTCCATGGTCCCAACTGTTCAGCAAATGGATGCTTAGAAAAGATTGCACTTTTGCCTGGCTGGGGTGGCTCAGTAGTTGAGCATCTGCCCATGCACCGAGAGGTCGCTGGTTCAATTCCTGGTCAGGGCACATGCCCAGGTTGTGGGCCCTGGCTGGGGGGCATGCAGGAGGCGGCCAATCGATGTTCTCTCTCATCGATGTTTCTATCTCTCCCTCTCACTTTCTCTCTCTCTAAAATCAATAAAGGAGAGAGAGAGAGAGAGAGAAAGAAAGAAAGAAAGAAAGAAAGAAAGAAAGAAAGAAAGAAAGAGAAATGATTGCACCAAGAAAGAAAGAAAGAAAGAAAGAGAAATGATTGCACTCCAAAATAGAAATATTGATTACTTCTGAGTGGTGAATTTATCTGTTCTTATTTCCTTGTGTTTACTTACATTTTCAAGTTGTTGTTTTTTTTATCATAAATATGTATTATGTTGCCTTTGTAAATAAGAGTAGGCTCATTTTTAGGTATCTTTAACGTTTGTGAAATAGTTGCATTTTTAGGCAATAGGTCAGGGACTGGCACACTTTCTTCACCAAGGGCCGAGTAGGGACAACTTGAGGCTTGTGACACGCCAGGTGCCTGTGTCCGGCCTGCTGCACTCTGCTGCTGGAGCGAGAGAGTCGCCGTAGGCAGTTTGGGAATGAATGGACTTGACTTTCCAACGGAGATGGCAGCCGGCTGTGGCCTGTGCGTGCTTTCTGCTCACGGCTGCGTGGGGGTCTGACCGCGCACAGGCCGCTCCCTCTGTTCCGGGTGTTTGCGGGCTGTCGTTCATTCTCCTCCCCCCGCACAACTGGCCGAAGCCATGAATCTGCGCGTGGAATCCACACCAGCCAGCCAAGGTATTGATCAAGATTGATCAAGGCTCCCCCCTCACGTCAAACCACTCTCTTAAAGCCGTTATTCCATTGGTGAAAAGAGGATCTTATCTGAGAGGCGTTAGGATCTTGAGGCTTCAGTTACAGAGAAATGAAGTGCTTAGCCACATGCCTTTCTCATGCCTAACTATTCACTTCTGCCGTGAAACGTGGGCGCCATGGGTGACGAGGGCTTTTCTTTTTCCAAGTAGAACTTAGGGTGCCGAACAAATTCTGTGCTCCTGACAGGGGCAGAGGAGTCTCGTGCAGAATGATAGAATACCTGCTCTCGGAAGTCATCTGGACTGCGTCCCCAGAAAGGGCACCCTCCAGGCATTGGCCGGAAGTCACTGACCAGTTTCAGCTGGGTTTGTCTTGTTTACCAGGCGTGTCGTGAATGCCATGGTGCCCGCGTTCACCTCTCTTGGTTCTGTGTCCTCCATACACTGTACACATGACACAGGTCGAGCGTGGGGCGGGGCAGGAGCTCCTGGGCCAGCCTGACCCAGGTGGTCATGGGCTCCATTAGGACAGAGGGTCAGGCTGACATAAGGACACTGCCAACTGTAGAAGTTGTTTGTGGTTGTTTAAGTCTTTTAAAGACTATTTTTTATTCAAGTATAGTTGACACACAATATTATATTAGTTTCGGGTGTGCGGGTCAGTGATTTGACATCTGCATACCTTACAGTGGGATCGCCACACTCAGTCTAGTGATCATCGATCACCATGCAGAGGTGAGAGTATTGATTAGATTCCCCTTCACCTTTTTCATGTGTCCCTCCCCCCTCCCCGCTCTGGCAGCCATCGGTTTGATCTCTATTTTATAAGTCTGTTTGTTTGTTGTTGTTGTTTTCTTAGATTCCACCTATAAGTAAAACCATTTGGTATTTGTGTCTTTTTCTGTCTGACTTATTGCACTTAGCATAATAGCCTTTGGGTCCACTCATGTTGTCGTGAATGGCAAGATTTGGGTTTTTGTTTTTTTTTTAAGGCTGAGTAATATTCCATTGTATGGACCACATCTTTATTTATTCATCTATAAATGGACATCCAAGTTGATTCCGTATCTCGACTACTGTAAATAGTGCTGCAATGAACACAGGGGTGTATACATCTTTTCGAATTAGTGTTTTTGTCTTCTTTGGATAAATATCCAGAAGTGGGATTACTGGGTTGTATGGTGCAGCCGTTATGAAAAAACAGGATAGAGGTGCCTCAAAAACTAAAAGGAGAACTATCGTATTGTAGAATTAGAGTCCACCAGAGAGTGCGGGCCCAGGCAGCCGCTGCGGACGTCCCCCGGACACAGGCAGATTCAGCTGAGCTCTGGCTGTGGCTACGGCTGCCGCGTCCTTCCTCACGACCAGCCAGCCCAGCTGTGTTTGCCAGGCCCTGCCCGATGCTCTCGCCCGCAGAGCTGCCCAGCCCCACCGGCCCTCCACGAAGCACCTGGCATGTGCCTTCTGCCATTCCAGTGCCAGGGGACAGGAGCCCCGAAGGCACGCTGCCCGAGGCCTCCTCGGTGCACTCTCAGACGCCTGAGCCCCAGACCCAGTGCCAGGGTGACTGGTGTGACACAGCGCGGGGTTATCTCTTTGTCATCTGTTAGAGATGGACTGCTCATTTCATAGTTGTGGTTTTCCCCCTTCTGTCTCCTCAGCAATTGCAGGGACTCCGGTGTCTGAAATTTCTGGGCCTTTCTCCACAGACGACATAGCCAGCAACTGCGTGCCCACTCTGCCTTTGAACGAGCCCATCTTGTGGATCGTCTCGTACACGCTCATGAGTGTGTGTGGAATCATCCTCCTTACCTTAATCATCCTGCTCCTGCTCCCGTTCCGGTGTCGGCACGCGCCCCCGGACCCGGAGGTTGTCAACGATGAGTCCTCGCTCGTGCGGCACCGCTGGAAGTGAAGCGCGGGGCCGGGCCCGCCGCTGGGCTCAGCTCTCGAGAAGGAGGTGCTGCGGGCCACGCAGGGCTTGCCAGGCCTGGGCTCCTCCTCTGTCCGTCAGTCTTAAATCTCTTCTGCTTCCGGATGCCTTCCACATTCACTGTACTTTGATTCTTGATTTCTTAGCTTCCTCCTTCCAAGAGCAATGATAATAAAAAACACCTCATTCTAAACCAAAACAGTGCATTGGGCTTCAGGCTCCACGTGGCTGGTGTTGCAACCCGTCCTGAGCGGCCTCGGAAGGAAAAGCGAGCCGGGGCCAGCGTGCCCCACTCGCGCCCCTGGAGAAGTGGGTGCGTGGCGTGATCACCCTGCCCGGCCGCTGGCAAGCTTTCTGTGCTCATTGCACGTAGGGTCTTTTGCACAGGCGCTGACCAGGGTCCGAGAGGTCCGTGAAGGCTCGTGATGCGATGGCAGGAGAAGCAGCCTGGGGCCTGACGGTAGCACCTTCCGCCCCTTCTGAGTCAGAGACAGCTGCAGCCCCCTCTTTGGGTCTTTCTGTGCGCTGAATGGAGGTCATCACCCAGTGGTCCTCACCAGCCTCTTCTGAAGATGGAAGGCCTTTGCCATCACGCCGAGTGAGGAGGAAGCCTGCTCTTTTGTACTCGACGCTTCCATAGTATTGTTGGTATAAAGGTAAACAAACAAACAAAAACTACCTCTGTTGAGACTCTGCCCTGGGTCCTAGCCCGGGTGGGGGTGCAGGAGGCTGGTTCCAGCCGTTGTCCTCTCCTGAAAGAATCCTTCCAACAGGCCGCATGGACCGGGGCTGAACCGCAGGCGCGTCCGGAACAACTCATTGCGCTGGGCTTTAGCTCATAGGCTTGTCTCACTTAAAATCACTCAGCAGCGTTCCAACGAGAAAAACAAATTCCATGTCACTAGCTTAGTTCTTCCTTTCTCCACATCTTCTATGAAGGTAGGTTAACTGTTGCCCTTTTGAGAAGTGGGGAAAAGTGGCCAAGTTCCCGCACGTCTGACCAGCGCTCGGGAAGGAAGACGAAGACATGCGGAGGCTCGAAAGGAACTTCCAGCTATTCCTGTGCTTTGAAACCAAGTGTTTCCATGTGCAGAGCCCCCTCGACTCAAGCACACCCACCTGAATCAGCGTCAACAGGTCGGCTGAGCAGGTGACCCATGTGCTGCTTCCCTTTGGTGCCCCTTCGGGTGTGCAGGGTTATCTTTATTTGGGGAAATCCCCTCTCGCTATCCTTCGAGGCCTTTGCCAAAGAAAAGCAAAAACCTGTGACTCCGTATACTCAGCCTTATGTGATCTGATGTAATTGGGAGAAGGGTTCAGAGCCAGCGTCCCTTCTCTCTTGTTTGTGTGCCAAGTTCACTGTTCACTCTGCTATTGGGATGAGCTGGATGTGTAATAAAATTCCACTGGAAGGGCTAACCGTGGAGGGTCTCCTCCGGCCGGAGTGTTGTCTGTGTTCCAGGTAGGCGACCTGTGGCTGTTCCGGCCATCTGCTCTGCTCCCTGGCTCCCAGGGTCGCCTCCACACGTAGAAATATATGCCAAAGAGAGGCGAGGTCACTTACACATGGCACGGTGTCCTCGCAGACTCTCCAGCTCTCAGGCACTGGTGCAGAACACGAGCTTGCTGTTATTCTAGATACAGTTCAAGCATGACAAGAATGAGCCCCTCTTGGGACAGGGTGGTGGGACGGAGTTCTGTTATCAGGTGCTCGTTATCGCGTCTGCTAGTTGAGAGGTAATAATTTAAGATATAGTTGAGTTAAAAATCTCTGGAAGTCTAGTCCTCTTCTTATTGGCTTTCTCACTGGCTGCTGTTTTGTGGGCCACTTTGCATGGAAGCGAAGACAGCACCCCCAGACGGTGCCTTCCCCATGCTGCGAAAAATCGGAACCCCTGAAATAAAGGAGAATGGCAGGTGTGACCTGGTTAGTTTCGCTTATTTCTTCATGGAGGTGTTCCTCTGTTCCTTTTCCCTGGTTAAGTTTCTGAGCCCGGAGTATTTCCGCTGCAGCCCATTAGCACTGTTCCCAGCACACGTGATAATAACACGTTAGATTTCAAGCTAGGGTGCTTGGATGGAGTTTGCTATAATTCTCTGTGTTTCGTATCAAATTTCTCTACCTATTCCAATGGGAACATTTAAATTACAAAAGCCTACTTTAGCAACAAGGATGAAAGAGACAGTTGAATGCGGGGCATTTTCTTGGCATGTCTGGCCACTGGAGTTAAACCCCGTGACTCCCGCCTCCCCCGGTTACGTGCATTGAGACTTAGCTTGGGGACCTTCAGGGGGGCTTGCTTTGAACAGGACAAGAAGCCGCAGCCATTTGAGGGTGTCATTCTTACCGGGTAACACACTGTGAAAAATGCTGGAAGATGGTTCTTTCCTGAGAACCACAGCTCAGCACTAGGTTGTCCCCAAAGCCTTGGTGTACCTCTGATGGGCAATGGATGCTTCTGCATGAACAAAACTTTGTTTTTATTTTTTATTGAGCAATGCTTTGTAATCCCGATAAGATGTTTGGAAGCCTGAAATGAAGTCCTGTGTCTTCAGCAACTGAAACTATGAAAAATAGCAAGAAATGGGATGGGGACTGAGCCCCTTGGTTTCCTCGGGAATCTGGAAGCCGGTGGGTCGTCTGGCATCTCCCGGGCACTAGTTTGCGTTTCTTCTGACCTTCAAACAAGGACGCAGCACTAACGAGCGAGCCTGGTGTGTGGTAGCTGAGGTTTCCTGAGCCCAGCCCGCTCCCTACCGTGGAAGGGTTTTACCTGATTTGTCGGGAAATGCAGGGGTTTGGGTCGGAGATAAAAGTGGGGTGGAGCGGTTCAAAATTTTGGAAGTAGTTCCCGGCGACGCACCATTCACGCAGCAGAGCTTTGGGTCATAGATTTTGCAAAGCAGCTGTGATTGGGGAATTATATCCGCTTATGTAAGAGGTGAGGAAGGGCATTTCATTATTTAATAGGTTCCCAGGGAGAAAGAACATTTGTTCATTTCCCCTTCCGGGTCCCCACGTGTTGAGCTGCCGAGCGTGGTTCTGTCCTGGGCTCTGGCCTCGGGCCCCTGGATGTCACGGGGAATGATCACTGCCCCACAGCCTGCGTCTTCAGCAACAGTCATCTAATCTCCCAGACCTGGTCTTTATGAGCGGGAACCAGGTAATTGGGTGGGACCCCAATGTTTTCTCTTGTACAAGGTTATTAGAATTGATTACAGAACTGTGGAGAATGAAAACTTGCCACTAAGAGGTTTGTTTTCCTTTTTTTAGGAAAAACAACACCATAAAATGTAAAACTACAGTTTTGCCAAAAAAGACACCAGATATTTAGTGACCAAAAAACCGCACACAACAGAAGTTACCGTGTACATTTCTGGTGGGTCTTAAGGATTTCATATTCGAACTTAGGACTGTTGACCAATTAAACAGCAAATGGGAAAACACATTTTGAGAGCGGGGAAGGAAAATTAAAAAAATAAAAGTCTGTAACAAAATAAGCAGAACGTGATCTTTTGAAGAAATAGCTTTAATTCCAGGAATCCACAGATTTCTTTTCCCCTTGAAGTTGCTGAATCAATTGGAGATCTGAATTCTTTTACCCAGCCGCAAACCCCAGACGTAGGAAGTATTCCAGCGGGGTCATGTGCCCAGTGTCAGCACGAGCAGGTGAGAAAAGGGGGCTGCCTGTCCCTGCCCCGCCAGGCAGAGCATCCCCGAGGGTCCGCGCAGGCCTGCGGCTCGCCCGGGCTGCTCCGAGTCCTGGGCTTCGGGAGGCTCTCAGGCACCTCTTGTGGGTGCAGACCATGCTTTTGGCCTTGGGCAGGGCCCTGTGGGATCACCGTCCTGGGCAGGGGAAGACAGCCTGGCATGGCCGTCAGCCTGGTGGTGACATCAGTGTGTCTGCCAAAACCTCCATTTCCCATAGTTACTGGAATTGAATCCAGGGTGGGGCAAAAGCAGGTGTACAGTTGTTTGTATGGGAAATAATACAATAATCAATAAATGATAACACCAGAATAAACTCTTTTGCATACTCACAACTGTAAACCTATTCTTGCCCAGTTCTGTATGGGTCTTGTGAAAACGCCCACTTCAACCAGTCAATACACTCTTTTCTCACCAGGGGTTTCGTATAGTTAGATATTACATGCAGATGGCCAGTATTTCTCAACTACATCGAACTGTGGGGTTTCACAGCACCCTTGCCCTTAAAGAGTGCCAGTTAGGTGTGGACTGGGCCAGGAGGCACGTCAAGGTTCCTGATAAACTCAGATCTAGCCCCGGGCGAGAGTGAGTCCAGGACCCCCGACCTCCGATGTCCGCGGGCTGGCTGGCCATGCGCTCTCTCTGCGCTGGCTGACGACAAACAGGCGGTTGGTTCTCTTTGCGGGTGGACAATTATTCATGGAGGACCCGCTGGGCAAAGTCTAAATCATAGGTTCCACAGAGGGGTGTGCCACGCAGATCAATCTGGTAGAATATTTTGCCAATACAGATGTTTGAGGATATAATCACAAACTCCAGATTTGTCAACTCGATTCGGAGCCCGTTGAGCCCCACTGTCATCGTAATGGTATCACTAAAAGGGGGCTTGAACCCTCGAGTACCTTCGACACCTGACCTCCTCCTCACTGGTGTTTTCCCATGGAATTGTCTTCCTGTCAGTTGGAACAGGCGTATTTTTATGCAGGATGGAGGCACAGATCAGAATAGCACGAGAAGGCGAGCTTCTCCCCCGGGAGCTTGCTTTCCTGGGTGCTGTCTGTGGTCGGGTGGTTGAAACGTTGTTGATAGAGCGACAGTCTCAGCTGCTTCCCTGTATCTGTAGGAGGGAAACTTCACACGGGCCTGGCGTTTTTGAAGTGAATACTTCTGAGTGACCGTTGAGAAAACATTAAAGCAGCGGTTCTCAACCTGTGGGTCGCGACCCCTCTGGGGGTCGCCTAAGACATAACAGTAGCAAAATTACAATGATCAAGTAGCAACAAAAATAATTTTATGGTTGGGGGTCACCACAACATGAGGAACTGTGTTAAATGGTCACGGCATTAGGAAGGTTGAGAACCACTGCTAAAGGATTATCTTTTTGAGATCAAGAAAAAATGGCCCAAGTTAATTGAGGATCTACTATTCTATAATGAAAGTCGCCCAGAATAAACTTCCTTAACTCCAATTTCTTACACAGCTTTGTGTGCTCTGTTGCTCGTGTTACCAACTTGGGATTTTCCCCCTCACTTCTCCAGTTGTAGACGCAATGTTCTTATCAGTGGTGGAATTAGTACCTATGAGAGCTGAGAGAATAAATGAGATTTTGGTCATGTAATAAAAGCTGAATGTTTGTCAGCTAAAATGGTGTATTTCCTCCTATTTCTGTTCATTGCACAGTTAAATATACTTCAAGTTTAAAAATCCCTGTGTTCAGCCATTTAAAGCAGCCGCTCGCTTTTTCTTAAGAAGGGGGACGTTTCTGCCACATTAATGGAGTCTCTGTGCTGGCCGAAGAGCTGCAGACCTCGTGTTCCCAGACACCAGAAGCCGCACTTAGCAAACGAAATGCATTGTGTTATCTCAGACGAACAGCTTTTCATACACAATTTTTAAGTGTAACTTGTATTTTTTAAAATGCTTAAGATTAGTTTATATCTCCCTTTGGGAACGTTGTCCTGTTT